TGTAGCTGTGTTGTTCATCCTGGGCCAGATATAATACCTATAGCAAGCAAAAAGAAACAAGAAGACTGAAAAGATACACCAAGCAAACATAAACTTAAAAAAAAAAAAACACCGTAATATTATTGTTAGTGAGTAAGACGTTAGAGGATCAGGGGCACAAGCCCGCTTACTGGACCTCTTACGTGACCAGCTGGCAAAATACCCCTAGTTGGTTGTGCCAAAAAAACCCCAAAGAAGAAGAAGAAGAAGAAGGGTTTTGCTGGTTTATTCGCAATTGGAAATCTTGTTCTGCAAGTGGAAACCACAGTTAACAGATTTGCAGTTTGCCTATGTTTTTTTTGGAGGTTTGGCTAATGACGGGGGCAGCATAGCATATTTGCGACCTGATTACTTGCTTGTAGAGCAGAGTTTTGTTTTTCAGAGTGAGCTTGCTTTTCTGGTTTAAGAGAGGGTAAAGGATGCCGGCTGTTTGGCTTCCTTTGGTGATTATTTTGTTAATGTGCTCAGCAAAGTTTAGTCTAGAATCGATAACGCCAAGATATTTGAGAGATTTAGAAAGTGGGATTTCGGTGTTGTTTAGCATTAGTTTCGGTGTGTTAGTGGGAGGTCTGTTTCGAAATTATCATGGCTTTAGTTTTTCCTGCATTAATTTTGATTTTACATGTGTCAGCCCACTCTTGAAAAATGTTTAAGTGCCGTTGAAGAGGGCCAATTAGGTATTTAATATTCCGGTTGGAATAGTAAAAGCAAGTATCGTCGGCAACTAGTGCTAGGTTGGTGGAGGGATTTTTTGGAGCATCAGCGGTGTAGAGGTTGTACAGGATTGGGGCAAGGGGGCGAGCCCTGGGGGACTCCCGCTTCAATGTCACGGGTAGAGGATTTGATTTTGTTCAGCAGAGTGAAAAACTTCCGCTTGTGGAGGTAGCTTGCCACCCACTGAACGAAGGCTAATGGAAGTTTGTGAGTGTGAAGGAGCTTCCAAATTAGCCCCTCGTGCCATACTTTAT